TTTTTCTCTTAATACTGATTTAAAAAGCCTTCCTTTGTTTGCAATTACTTCTCTGAGCTGTTTTCATATATTTGACGTATTCATTGAATTATTCTTTTGAAATCATGAACCAATCTTGGTGTGTAAACACTTAATTACACTGGTCAACAAATGAATCTTTTTAAATTATCAGAGTTGGATAATTACTTTTCTTAGTAAATATTTCATACGGTTTAAGAATGTGAAGTCGCTTTTCCTCTACCATGTCAGACTTATAATTTCTCATACCTGTAGTTTTCCCGCACATATAAGGTACAATACATAAAGAATATGATTTTTTTTGACATTTATTATACAAAATCAAATTATAATAATCTCGAATTATAACTAAAAATCTTTGGTATTTAGAATTTCTCTGGCAGTTATTATCAGGTCCATCCCTCTATAAAATCCAGTAGTAGTCAGCTAGCTTTCTTTCATTCGCAAATCCTTGATGCCGTTGCTCCATGGATGCTATGTCCTAAGTAAAGTGTTCCACTTGCTCATCAGTCAATGCTACAAGGTTCTGTTCAAAAAGGTTCAGATGTGAATCAAGGAAATGCATTTTCAGTGATATCCAACGTCATGGCGGAAAAAGACTCTAGAAGCCAGTTTAGTTCATTTCTAAAATCTCGAGATCTGCTGTTACCCAGTAAATTTTCAGAGATTTACTTAAATGATTCTCAGTCTTTAAATTCAATCTCATCCAAAGTTTTGATGAAGTTATTTTCCTTGTGGAGTTCGTTTATTTGCGGACCTACATATATACACTCCTTAAGTTTTGCTTAAGTAAAGTTTGGAAACTTAATCTTCTGAGCTCTTCCTGGCAAGTATCTTCATATATTGTCTCATGAGACCAAGCTTTATAAAAAGATGCCTTATTCTGTACGTTACTACCAGATGATATGATTCTTGTTTAGACCACACTGATTGCATTTAGCGCTAGGCAATTGAACGCCAATCCTCCAGAACGCAGCAATATATCGTGAACCCTGAGTGAATGTCGTATACGAATTGATGCATTCTTATCTCTCTTGCAGAAATGAGGAATATAAATATCGTCCGTAAGCAGATATTATCCTTTGAGAAGAGGCGCTAATGTTTCTGCTTTAACCTCTGACAAATCTCTAGCAAAATCATTGAACTCTCCTTGCGAATATTTTTGTGGTTCACATTATTTTCATGAAACGAAACTGCATATATTTTGGTTGTTTTACTATCACTATTAACTACATCACAAAATAGCAATCGTCAGACATTTGAAGGTCATTATTTGGTAGTACTGGAACAGAAATATTATCATCTTTGTGTAATATTGGTCTACTTGCCGATTCTATTTTGGGATTCACAATCTTATACTTGGTCTTAACTGTAAACCGACATACATTAACCATACAGAAATAACTGTCATTGAAATGTTCAGTTGGCTCTCTCTATATCATAGATAATGAAAACGACATTCTCTCTTGCTTTTATTAAGCCAATCGCTTTGTCTATTGGAACAAGATGAGTAGATGATATGTGGCACCTAAGTCATATCTAGATCCGTGAGATGACATCAAAAGTACAACTGATAAATCTTTTTGATTTCAATTCTGATGAAACGTTAGTAAACTTTGGCAGAAAATGAACCACAGAGATAAAATATAACAGGACATTTTCTGCAATGCATCTTCAATACATTTTGATGATGATGATGATGATGATGATGATGATGATGATGATGATTCGACACCAGATTGAACGGGTGACGAGTGTCAGACAACTGAAAAAAAGTATATGGAGATACCAAATATGGGCTAAATGAATATCGTATAATGGATGTCAGTTATCCCCTGTTAATTCCCCTTTCCAAGTTCTCCACTGCCTTAACCAGGCATTAAACTCACAAATCTTTGAGTTCTGTCACTGGATCTAACTAACGACTTTATTCACTCTGCCATGTGTCCTTTAAAAGAAAATCGTTACATTTTCCTAGAGAATATTTTTTAGGTTCATCATTATTAATTTCATGAACAAAAACTGCATCCATTTCGGTTGTTTCAATATAACTATTACCGTCATCACAAAAGAGCACTTCGTCAGAGATTTGAAGGTCATTCTTTGGTAGTACTGGAACAGCAATTTTATCATCTTACCTTGATCCGTGAGATGACATCAAAAGTAAAACTGGTAGAGTATTTTGCCTTCAATTTTGATGACACGTTGTTGAGCTTTATTGGGAAATGGACGACAGAAATAACAAGATTCATCAGGATTGTTTTTGAAATGCCTTGACATCTTGAATATATGTTGTTGAGGATTATGAATATAATTATAATGATGATAATAGGATAGCAGACTAGACGGCTTACGATTTTATGGAGATACCAAATATTGTTTGTGAAAAACGCTTAACTAAACCATAAACCTGTTTTGAAAATTTATAAAATTACATAATACAGATAATTAATAATAAATAAACACAAATCTGAAGTTGCCTGTATAAAACATTTACTGGTGCTGATTTGACTGACGGCAGTTTTTTACCCGCATTATCTCATTAGAGAAAGGCTAATAGAAGAAATCAGATTACTTTCGTGAAATGCGCGGGAAAATATTTAGGTTTTCAGAACCCTGAAAATTGAGAATTTTGAAACTGACAGTTGCGCATATTCTTGATGCTTTTTTATTCTTTTATTTTTACTGATATTTTAGCTCGTTTTTTTTGGGAGCATTGCACCCTGAGTTCTGCGCCGATATTACGTGAAAACATGTTTGCTGATATTATATATAATACTGTCGTTTTATTATATTTATATTTTATATTTATGTGAGTGTGTTCGAATAAATTGCACATGTTTTAGATATAATTCCCATGTTTCATAAAACACGAATATAAAAGTTCTCCCTTTTCTCGTTTCCTTTATCGATCTTACCTTTTTCTTTCCATCGCGCCATTTTATGTTTAAAATTAATATTTTTCTTCTTCCCTTTGTTCGATTTATTCCAGATATCGTCCTCTTTTCCCTTTCCGTCTCCTTCATGACAACTATCCGATGCCAATCTTCTTTCCCCCTCTCAACATTTCCAGTCCTCTCCCTCAGGTGTTATCGACACATTTCTATGTTTTCATCGTTGCCACACGATCTTTACAAGTGCGCTTCCTCTGCCATCGACCAATCTTACTCATTGTTTCCCTTAAAACAGCCGACACGCCTTTAACAACACCGCGACTTGAGAAGAGGAGACTAATTTCACGCATACAAATTTCGCCAGTCCCTTTCAACATACGTCATTGAGACTAAAATGTTTCTTGTGTAATTGTCGCTTACTCTTCAAAACAGACAGATTCTTTTGCATAGACATCTATGTAAGCAACTAAAAACTGATTCGTCAAATCATGTGACTGTGTTTATCGTATCTCTTCCTCCGAGGGCGATCGATTTTGTAACCAGACGGGCCATAACACTGTCTTACCAACACCTCTTGATTCTATTTCTGTCTTTCCCATGGTTCATTTTCTCCACATCTCTTCCACACCGATCCTTTGAAATAGCAAACTAATAGAATGGTTATTTTTACGCTTTTATAGAAATGCCTCTTCTATATATTTCCTGTTTACTTGCTAGCGGGAATATACAGGATACATAAATATTTGTGAGCTTGCATCTCTTATATTTGTCGAAGAAAAATAGAAAACCATTCTTTATCTAAAAAAAGAAGAATTATTTATCCGATTAATGATTTTCTGTCTTGCTTATATATTTAATAAATATATAAAGAAGATGAATCACTCAGTGCTTACATAACTTAATGAGATTTTCCTAGATAGGCAAACAATTGAGATAAACTAATGTTCCGCATACTTACGGATGTATAAAGATGCATACAGATACATATATCAATATGAAAACCTAGGGTTAGATTCAACATTGAAGTTCTTTTTAACATTGCAAGGTTTGTTTTGCAGACGAGGTGATAAACTATTTTTAAATGTTATTCAAATTTTAAAAATAATTACCGTATTTATTCCACTATTAAGACGCATTTCTCACTATAAAATATATTTAAAAAAAAGCAGTCTAAGTCCTATAAATGATCAGTGTTAAGTTCTTTATAATTGTTACATTCTAAATAGTTACCATACATTTGATATTTCTTCTTATTCTGCGATTAATTTATCATAGTTAGTCAGGTTCTCATGCTGGAATGTACTATACATTGTGTAAACCTGGGGATAATGGAAAAGGCAATGAACTACAAGGAAGAAAAGGACATTTTTTCCGATTTTTCCTTCACACATTTCTGGTGAGGTGGGCGTCTAATGCATTGAAAGTTCTCTTTAATTATACTGATCTCCAGAGTGAATTTAGTTTAACAAGTATTGAGTGACGTAGATTGTAGGAAAAACAGGTATTTTCAGAAGTTTACAAAATATATTGTCAATTCACGTCTGTTATTTGTTTTCTGGCATCCGCAGAGTATATACCTGCTGAAGGTATGGTTAATAGAACTACCGAAAACATCAAATATACAGATATGAATGTTTTAAGATAGATAGATAGATAGATAGATAGATAGATAGATAGATAGATATTCTACTGCCTATCAAATATAACTGCGATTTTCCTACATACTACTCAATGCAAACAGACAAATACACACACACACGCAGGCACACACACACACACACACACACACACACACACACATATATATATATATATATATATATATATATATATATATATATATATATATATATATATATTAAAAAATAAGTTACTCCAAAATTCGCTTGAGGATGAAATGTAACTAATGTCTTTAATTTATCTACAAATTAAATTCAAGCTTCTAGCTTCCATTTTGAAACATGGTTAGAACTGTGTAGCGAAAAAACATATTGTAAATCAGTTAATTTATATATATATATATATATATATATATATATATATATATATATATATAATAAAACAAATATAGCCCAAATTACATATAGCATACGGACATATCACGCTGAAAACCCTATTCTCGTCCGATCGCCAAGATAAGCAAAATTGATCCTGGTTAGTACTGCATTAGTGACCGCTTGGGAATACCAGGTGCTGTAGGCTTTCGGCTTTAGCTTACGGGCATATCACGAAGACACTGATTCTCGTACATTCCCCCAAGTTAAGCAACATAGAACCTCTTCAGTACTTAGATGTTGAACGTTGGAAATAACAGGTGCTCTAAGTATCCGTCTTTACCATACATATATATATATATATATATATATATATATATATATATATATATATATATATATGAGAAACTATGGAGAATTTTCGTTTGAGAATCTTCCTTTCGGCTTTTTTTTTTCTTTTTCGCAAGATTCTTTTCATTTGAGTGTAAGTTGGTTAAAAAAGGTACCCCTGTCTTTGGTGCGTTGCCGATCACTTTCGGTTGTTGGCAACCGTTATCACGGTGTGTTTTTTCGTTTTAAGTAAGTCGTTTTTGTTTTTTTATTTTGTGTGAGTGAGCAAGAAAATTTGATCCCATGTTCTTTGCCTTCGCACAAAGCAAGTTTCGATTTTCCTTTTTTTAGGTTCAACTTCATCTTGAAAATATGGCCTATCCTTAAAAACGGAAAGCACAACCTTACTTTATGTCACATATATGCATATATATGAATAAAAATAAGGATTTGAGGTATGCTACAATTATTGGTAAAACTTTGCAATATCATATTAGTGTCTATGCGTGTGTGCGGGCGCGTGTGTGTCGACAGTCTTTCTTATGCTTGACCATACTCTTCAGGTGAAAGAGACTCCGACCACTTTGTGTTGATCTCAGTTACGACGAATGATATATATATATTTTTTTAAATACTTAGTCGCAATAACTTGTCATTCTTCTTTTTAAAGAAAATGTGTAAAAGACGGATTGCTGTCCAAGTACACAATGTAACAGCAAAATTGTCCCATAAGTAGATTAAGATTTGGACCATTGTAACTTAAAAATGATTAAATATACCTTATTGGAATTCTCCGGGGTTTTTATAACACTATTGGCTTCTATTTTAAACAATAAAAATGTGTAATTACTCACAAAGCTTAGCAAAAGAATCATGCTGAAATCTATCATAAAGGAATCATCAATTAATCGTAGCTAAGCATTCAATCTCACGAAGGATTGAAATAAAGTTCAATGGAAGCATAAATACAGGTATCTATTTCTAATTGATATGAACTCGGGCAGAAGTCCAAACATTTAGGCATTAAGACTTGCCCCATCTGTGTCAATGACATCCTTAACCCTCTTTCTGTATGCATCACCATCTTTTGTACTGTGTTTTTCATCAATGTTCTCCACCCGGGTCTTATTGATGGTATTCTTGAGGGGTTGCAGGTTACTCAAGGGCATCTCACATGCTTATGCGACCAGTTCCTTGCAGATACTGAAAAAACTAATGTTTTACATCGCGCAATGAAGAAAGTCAAGTTTATTTATGACAAATCCTGTTCTTAAACAGTTCCATGATAAATATTTGAGTCATTGCGCTGGTGTTCCAAGAAGCGCCATCCTATCGGGGTGTGAATTTGAAGGCCTTATTTATCTTATTGGGGTTAAGATTGTCTGTAGTCTCAGGATATTTAGAAAGAATTGTTCTTCAAAATTTGAACATAGCGAACCCGTGTAAGCCTTTCATGAATCTCATACATGATAAATTGCATCTTCTTGCTATCAGAGGCCACACAGGCAACAATCATTACCTTTGCAAGTTTTTCACTTGAAAATGACAGTCGTGATTCTCTCATAAGGATCTGAAGTAGGAATAAAGCTATTGCGTCTGTTTATGTTCACATCGTGTGTAAAATTCTTCTCATCATTGTGTGAGATTATTCCAGGATAATTTTCCAAATTATTCAAGACGATCTTCGCCTTCTCTTGCATTCTAAATTTCTTTCCTGGATTAACAAGGTTCCTCACAGGTTTCATTTACGATTTCATTTTCAAGTTTTTTTCCACCGCTCTTTGGACTGACATACATGAAACTCCTCTCTCGTATACCAAATAACTTTTGAATTGAGTTGAATTTTTTTCTAATTGATCCTTTTAGGTCTAAGTTGAAATAATGTTCCCTCTTACAGTTGCGACCTCCTGATCCTGTTTTCCTTTCTACAATTCCCTCTCTTTTAAACTTTTTCACTGTTATCTTGATGGTTTTTGAATTAAATTTGGAGATGGAATCCAGAGTATGAATTTTAGTACCATTACTGAAGACCTGAATGATATTATTCTTCTTATCATTGCTCCTTTGAGAAGATATAGTAAGAATGACACAAAACATTTAACCTGCTCTTCTTTTTAGCTGAATAACTGAAAGGTTTTTTCAGTGATTGCGACGACAAATGATGTTGTCTTATCTGAAAATATGGAATAAAAAAAACTCGATTCGATTGGTGTTTTTCTTTCGATATTAGACATTTACACGATTTGTACAATGTTGCCATCACACCCGTTATGTGTGTATGTGTGCGTGTGTGTAGGTGTGTGCTTGTGCTTTGTCCCGACTCACTTGCAAAATCAGATCGTTGTGTCAGGTGGAAAAATTATATGGACATAAATCAGATACTTTTCAAATATTGTACATCGTAAATATTATAAAATTAAAGAATTAGGAAAACAAATATGTTTTCAGCTTTGGAAACAGCCTCGATGTAGCTACGGAAACCAAATGTTACCCCAAAAATGTGGTCTCCTTTCCTGTTGACAATGACGTATTCACCATTACTGCGGAGCTCTGGTTGATACAACTCTTAATGAGGTAGGCTAAGATAATCTGTATGATAGCATTAATTCATTTTAGAAAGAATTCCAGCGACAGGATATGGGTTTATTTGCTTACAACACTCTGAATTACATATGTAAACATGATTTTCAAAACGAGCTTTGATTAATCCTCTTCCTCGAATCACTACATCTACGAAACTATAGTGTCGGGGTGCTGATGATAACATCAAATGATAAATATTATATTTGTATTAAATCTACATTCATCTTCAACGAATAACAACAATTACAAATAGTCCAAAAGATTAACGAATATAAATATTTATTAAGATATTTGCATCAAATAATCGTCAACCTTCTGTACTAACATTATCATATATATATTTTTGAAATTTCCCATCGTAAAGTAGAAGGCTGTATGTAGAAATATATAACTGTATCAGTTTGTTAATTGTTGAGTTATTTTTAATAATCATCATTTTATTTCGATTTAAGCATAAATCACTGATGTTTTTTAATGACAATTGTATTAAGCAAAATCCGAAAGTATCATGCTATGTTTTATATAGCGTAAGGATGTAAAACAAAAATATAAAATTTCTTAACCTATTAAAGTCTTAATTTCTATAAATATTCATTTATTTAGAGTTTTTACTCGATCAATTTTACATCCGCTTTCATAAATTCCTAAATTGAAAAGTAATTCATATATCTTGTTGAAATACCACCTTCTAAAATGAGATCGAATATTCTTAAAATAAATATGGGAAAATATAATGCCTGTAGAATCAATCAATAATGAGAGTTCTGTTTAGAGAATGCAGGTACAGAAAACACTATTGTCGAAATAAAAACAAATCACATTCCAACATCTAAGTAACCAAATATATATCATGTATCTATTTGGGATATCTTTTCCGTCAAATTTGAAACTTTTTTTTTCTTTTTTCCATGAGCCTGTGAGGGTAGCAATGCTGGATAGGTTGAAATCAGGTAGTTTCAGACTTGTTCGGAAATGCTTCGTTAACCGTAAGTGCAGACGCTGTTAAAAACATCTAAGATAAATATGTGCTGCTTGAAAAATATATAATGATTCTTTAAAATTATTGTAAATAAAAATAATGATGCTTTTAATTACTTAAATTAAATGAGCTGTTTCCAAAATGTAGCAAGCGTACTTGTATAAAAGAAGAAAAATCCATATATATGGCTATTAGTTGCTAAGGCGTCTCCTGGGAGGTTTGTGCTAACTGAATTGCCGTTTTGGGAATTTCGGTCGGATGTATTTAGACAAGTGAATGATGTTAAGCGTTAGGACTGATGGCTTTTCATTATATCAACATTTTGTCAATAAGCGGACTGTGGCGTCTCTATCACAAGTTATATGAACAATGCTTATTCTTCTGCAGCAAACAACAACACCTTGGCCAAAGTGGATTTGATAGGAGAAAATGTTGTTATCATGTGAAAATAAGTCATCTATAGAACAGGCATTGTTACGATTTCTCTCTCCAGGCAACGATTGCATTTCTAAGAATAAGCGTTGATTTGGAGATGTCAACAAAATACTTTTAGTTTTATTAGTTCAATGCTGATTGCACAGGCGGATGCAAAATTTTACGCAATTTCATATATATATATATATATATATATATATATATATATATATATATATATATATATATATGTGTGTGTGTGTGTGTGTGTGTATGTTTTCTTTAATATATATATATATATATATATATATATATATATATATATATATTATATGAATCATTCAAAAACCAGATATAAAGTCAATGATATAAATGGTGAGAATACATCTGCTATAACTTTAACTGTTTTTGTATGAATTATTCATGTAATGTAAATTGAACTGCAGCGCATACTTGACATATAACTATATATATATATATATATATATATATATATATATATATATATATATGTAAAACCCAGGACACATAACTTATGTAATTAAATGTCTCCAGAATTTTAGATTTGCCATTTTGTCAGGAAGGTGACTTCTTTATATTGTCGGTTTGAAGATGGTGATCTCTGCGTTCGGCAAATTTGAAAAGAGCAGGCAAACTTACCACAGTTTGACCCAAGACATACGAGTTTAAGTGGATAGATGGAACTTTATGAAACCGTCACTGCTTGTGCTAGTACGAAGTCACAAGTCATCGTGACCAAAGATTTTGAGCGTGCTGTCCTTGTTCAGACTGCTGAGCATGCAAGCTCTCCCAAAAACTATAACTAGGGTTCGCTCAGCATGCATGCCATATAAACCACAGGTGAGATCTGTGTGTGTGCATGTGCAGGATCTGTTGACC